ATTGACTACGCAAAGGCTTTTGATTGTGTGGATCATGACAAGCTATGGACAACATTGCGAAGTATGAGTATTCCATAACACTTAATTGTGCTTAAAAGGAACTCTGGTAGCTTAGTGGTTACGAATCAGGCTGTGAACCGCGAGGTCAGCAGTTCGAAACTACCAGCGGTTCCGCGGGAGAAAGATGAGGCGTTCTGCCCCCGTAAAGATTTACAGCCTCGGAAACCCTGTGTAGGATCGCTATGAGTCGGAACCGACTCAATGGCACTTAACAACAACAACAATCAACTATCAATACTCATGGAAGCAGCAGTCAAGAGATCAAATGATGTATTGCATCAGGCAAGTCTGCTGTACAAGAGCTTTTTAAAGTGTTGAAGAGCAATGCTGTCAGCTTGAGGACTAAGCTGCTCCTGCCCCAAACCATGGTATTTTCAATAGCCTCATAAGGATGTGAAAGCTGGACAGTGAATAAGGAAGCCTGTAGAAGAATTGACGCCTTTGAGTTATGGTGTTGGAGGAGAATATTAAAGTGCCATGGGCTGCCAAAAGAACCAATAGATCCGTTTTCGGAGAAGTGCAGTCAGAGTGCTCCTTGGAGGCCAAGATGGCCAAACTTCACCTGTCATACTTTGGACATATTGTCAGGAGGGACCAGTCACTGGAGAAGGATATCATGTTTGGTAAGGTGGAGTGTCAGAGGCAAAAAGGAAGACCCCTCAACAAGATGGATTGGCCAAGTGGCAACATCTATGGACTCAAGCGTGGTAACAATAGTGCAGTTGGCCCAGGATCGGGCAGTGTTTCGTTCTGCTGTGCATAAGGTCGCTATGGGTCGGTACCGTGTCGATGGCACTTAACAACAACAACATGTTGCTGTTGTTGTTGGTAAGTGCTGTCCTGTCAGTACTGACTCATAACAACCCTGTGCACAACAGAGCAAAACACTGCTAGGTCTTGCACCAACCACCCAGTAATTACTATGCTTAGGTCATTGCTGCTGCCACGGTGCCAATCAATCTTTGGATATCTTCTTCTTCTTTTTCTCCAGCCTTCCATTTTATGAAGCATGTTGTCCTCCAGGGATTGGTCCCTCCTGACAACATGTCCAAAATATGAGAGACAAAGTCTCACCATCCTGGTTTCCAAGGCGCATTCTGGTTGTACGTTTTCCAACAGAGGTTTATTTGTTCTTTTTGCAGTCCATGGCACTTTTAATATTCTTCTCCAATAGCATAACTCAAATGCATGAATTCTTCTATGGTCTTCATTATTTATTTTCCCACTTTTACATGAATATGAGGTTATTGAAATTATTGTGACTTGTGCCAGCCTCACCTTAGTCCTCAAACTGATATCATTGTTCTTGAACATTTTAAAGAGGTCTTGTGTAGCACATTTGTCTAATGGAAATGCCATTTAATTTCTAGACTGCTGCTTCCATGAGAGTTGGTGGTTGATCCTAGCAAACTAAAATCTTTGACAACTTTAATCTTTTCCCATGTATCTTGATGCTATTTACTGTTCCACTGGTGAGAATTTTTGTTTTGTTTACATTGAGGTGCAACCCATACCAAAGGCTGTGGTCTTTGATCTGTATCAGTATTTTAAATCCTCTTCACTACCAGTAAGTAAGGTTGTGTCATTGGTATTTTGAGCTTGTTCATGAGGCTTCCTGTATTTCTGATGCCACATTTTGCTTCATATAAATCCATTTTCTCAAATTATATGCTCAGCATACAGATTGAATAAGTATGGCGAAAGAATACAATCTTGGCACACACTGTCCTAATTTCGAACCATTCAGTGGTCCTTTTTTTGTTCGAATGACTGCCACTTGGTCTATGTACAACCAGGTTCCTCATGAGTATAAGTAAGTGCTCTGGAATACTCATTCTCTGCCATGTTGCCGATAGTTTACCAAGATCCCCACAATGAAAAGCCTTCACATAGTCAACAAAGCACAGGTAAATATCTTTCTGGTATTCTCTGCTTTCAGCCAAGATCTATCATGTTAGAAATGATATCCCTAGTTCCATGTTCTCATCTGAATCCTGATTGAACCTCTGGTAGTTCTCTGTCAACGTGCTATTACAGCCATTTCTGAATTATCTTACCAAAAATTATTTACATGTGATAATAATGATACTGTCTCACAATTTCTGTAGTCCTTTAGTGACCCCTCTTTGAGGTGGGCACAAATATGTATCTGGTTCAATCAGTTGGTCAGATAGCTGTCTGCCACATTTCTTGACATGGATGAGTGAGTACCTCAGTGCTACATCAGTTTGTTGAATGAGTTCAATTTGTATCCCATCAATTCTTGGTGCCTTATTTTTTTTTGCCAATGCCTTCAGTTCACCTTGGACTTCTTCCTTCAGAATCATTGACTCTTGATCATCTGCTACCTCTTGAGATGTTTGAACATCAACCATTTTTTTTTATACAGTGACTCTGTATTCCTTTCAGCTTCTTTTCATGCTTTCTGCATCATTTAATATTTTTCTCAAAGAATTCTTCAATATTGCAAATGAAGGCTTACATTTTTACCTCAGTTCTTTCAGATTGAGAAATGCTGAGCATGTTCTTCCCTTTTGTTTTTCTAACTCCAGGTCTTGCACATTTCATTATAATATTTTACTTTATTTTCTCAAGCTGACCTTTGAAACTTTCTGTTTACATTTTTTATGTTCTCATTTCTTCCATTTGCTTTAATATCTCTACGCTGTAGTGTAAGTTTTGTAATCATTTTGGTCTTTTCCTTCTTTATTGCCTTCTTAATGATCTTTTGCTTTCTTTATGTATAATGTTCTTGATTTCTTCCCACAACTCTTCTGGTCTTCGTTCATTAGTGTCTAATTCATTAAATCTGCTCTTGAGATGATTTCTAAATTCAAGCAGGATATGTCCAAGGTTATATTTTGTCTCTTGTGTACTTGTTTTAATTTTTTTCGGCTTGAGCCTGAATTTGCATATAAGCAACTGATCATCTTTTCCACATCTGCCCCTGGCCTTGTTTGGTTGATGATTTGGAGATTTTCTACTCTCTCTTTCCGCAGGTATAGTCAATTTGGTTTTGGGGTATTTCATCTGGTAAGGTCTATGTATATATTTATGTTTTGCGTTGCTTAAAAAAGGTATCTGCAATGAAGAAGTCATTGGTCTTGCAAAATTATATTATGCATTCTTGTCCAAGTTGGACAAGATAATAGAAACTGAATGGTATTAAAGATTTTTCTCCTTCTTTTTGATTTTTGTGAATATGAAGCTATCTCAACCCTTCTCTGGATTGATGTATGTCATGATGGTCCTTAGTTATGTTAATGCTTCTTGCAGGATCAATAAGATCTCTTAATAATGTCTCTGCATACTGAATAAAAATTGGAATTAGTGAAGAAAAAAGCTGGGATCATTGATTGGAAACTTTGACTCTTCCTCTTTGAGTAGCCTTCCAGGCCAGTATTGAATTTTATATTAGTTGATTTTGACCCATGGCAACCTCATGTGTGTCAGAAGAGCAGTGTGCTCCGTATGGTTTTAAATAGCTAATGTTATTGGACTATATCGGTAGGCCTTTCTTCCAAAGAACCTTTGAGTTGATTGGAATTTCTAACCTTTGGGTTAGCAGTCAAATACATTAACCTTTTTTTTTTTTTTTTTACTACCCAGGGACTCTTGATATAGATAAGTAAAACTTAAATCTCCAATCTTCTAGTATTTAAATTTATTTTTAATCATTTCATTCTTCATTTTCTCTTAGAACTCTTGATGTTGCAGTGAGCTTCAATGGAGGAAAATCTGTCATCACAAGCTCATTAATAATCACAGCCACAGAATGTGTAAGTATGTGTAGAAGTTACCTTTAAAAAATATTTCTATCTACAAATAATTTTTATAGTTTCAGTATTATATATTACAATGAAGAAGGCAAAATCAATAACATCGGAGACCTACAGAAGGAAAGTATGTATAGATTTTATTTTAGAATTGTTTTTTTCATTTAGCTTCCTTTAAAAGGGATTTGGAGATTTAAAAAAAAAAATTATTTTGGCATTTCATTTTGACATTTAAAATCAAAATTAGGTATGAACTGATTTAAAAAAGAGACCCTTTCCCCTTTAAAATGTTAAATATATAATGTTTTAAGTAAATAATGTTTTATTAAAAAATATGCAGCTTAGATTTTATTATCTAAGACATTTATTATTTTTTGATTATATTAGTGCATCTGAATGGATGGATTCATTAATTTGTCCATCTTAAATGTTGGTGTTTTCTAATATATGCATTGTTATTGCTATCTAAGTGCTGTTGAGTCACTTCTGAGCCAGTGAATCTGTGTAGGGTTTTCAATGAGTGGCTGGTGGGTTTGAACCACAGATCTTGTGGTTAATAATCCAGTGTTGATTGAGTAGAGAATGTAATTTTGATAGCATGATGGTATCTTAGTTTGAAACTACATTGAAAGTATATTTTAGTTATGCTGACTGATTTGCAATATTTCAAGATATAAACCCTATTCACGAGACAGTTTTTCCCTTGTGGTGAATTTTGTAGATTTATAGGCAGTTTTGACATGGAATCTAGAACTGATCACAGCCAGTCTGTAGTTTCTTTGTGAAAAGTATATGCATCAAAGCAAAAATAATTCCTCCCCTTCAAAAGACCAAAGCTCCAAACCTAAACATTTTCTCAACTACCACATCATCAGTGGTTCAAATCTACCAGCCAATCCTTGAAGACCCTGTATATGGCCACTATGAATTGGAACTCAATGACATTTGACAACAACAGTGATTTTACAGTTTCTGTATTTTGATCTCTCAATTTAGGAGACATCTGCCCTCCAGAAAACAAAACAAAACAAAATGACTCAAAATGTTATTCATATATAGTTTCTTTTCTTTTCTTTCTTTTTTTTTTTTCATATATATAGTGTCTTACAGTAGGACCCTTTGACTACTGTTGCACTCTCTGGACAATTTTTTAAACAAACTTGCTAGTTTTATAAAAATAGTTTTGTTTTGTTTTGTTTTTCTCTTCTAATCTGTGTTGCATGTAGCAATATGTAGGGTTTGTGAATGTTGCATGTTTTCTGATCTTTCAGGATGTGGTTCATTTCATAAATATTTACAGTGTATAATTTATTGGTGCTTAACTCATTGAAATGGCATTCTTCTTTATATTTTACATCTCAAGTCATCTTCCTCCACTATAATTACAACTAGCAGGAAAACAGGACATTGTCCCGATTCTATAACCATGCATGATTGCAATGTGACAGGATGTTGAGGTTAAATGACTCCTCTGGAATTCATTGATCATATGCTCTAAGGAAGTCTTAGGTCTCAAGAGAAGGTAACGTGAATCAAGGTAGTTGAAGATAAATAAGGTGATTTCAGAAGAAGAAACATTGGTTGTTAAGAGAAGGAAAGCAAATGAAGGGGCAAGCTGCAATATTATACATGAAGGTCAAGGTAGGTCAAAGTGAGATTTGAGCGAGGACTTGCAGAATTTGAGGAACTTATCCCTAAAGACCACCTGAGGAAAGAGTGTTCTGTGCAAGGAGAATAGCCAGAATAACATTCAACACAGGACTGTATTAAGATTAAGGAAGACCAAAGTTGTTAGGGTGATTGGGGTGAAATTAAGGATAGCAGGAAGAGCAATTTTGCTAAAGGTAATACAGAAATGGCTACAATCATACATTGACAGAGAACTTCTAGAGGTTCAAGCCAGATACAGAAGAGGCCGTGGAATGATGGATATCATTGCTGATACCCTATGGATATTGGCTGAAAGCAGAGGATATCAGAAAGATGTTTACCTGTGCTTTATTGACTATGCAAAGGCTTTCAATTGTGTGGATCATGACAAGTTATGGACAACATTGCGAAGTATGAATATTCTGGAACACTTAATTGTGCTCATGAGGAATCTGCACCTGAACCAAGAGGCAATTGTTCAAACAGAACATGGGAACACTGAATGGTTTAAAATTAAGAAAGGTGTTCAACAAGGTTGTATTGTTTCACCATACTTATTGAACCTGTATGCTGAGCAAATAATCTGAGACTGTGGGTTCTATGAAGAAAATCTTGGCATCGGGATTGGAGGAAGACTCATTAACAACCTGAAATATGCAGATGGTACAACCTTGTTTGCAGAACATGAAGAGGACTTAAAACATTTACTGATGAAGATCAAAGAGCACAGCCTTCGGTATGGATTATGTAATGAAAACAAAAATCCTCACCACTGGACCAATAAACAACATTCTTATCAACGGAGAAAAGATTGAAGTTGTCAAGGACTTCGTTCTTCTTGGATCAACTATCAACACTCACTCCAGTCACTGGAGAAGGATATGTTGTTTGGTAAGTTTGAGGTCAGAGAAAAAGAGGAAGACCCCCAACAGGATGGATTGGCCAAGTGGTATCATCTATGGCCAAGTGGCAACAGTAGTGAGGTTGGCCCAGATTCAGGCAATGTTTCCTTCTGCTGTGCATAAGGTCATTATGGGTTGGTACTGACTCAGTGGTACCTAACATCAGCAACAACAGGGAAGATAAGAGGAAAGAGTGGGGAGACAAATAAATCTTATAAAACCTGTTGTCTTTTAGTCATTTTAAGAGTTTGAATTTTTTATTATTATTATGAATTGAAGGAGTGCAGTGACTTTGTAGGATAATCACCATGGTGTGAACTATAATGTCTTCAGTGTGAGCCTACCAGTGCTCTACAGGAGACAGATGAGGCTTTCTATTGCTGCAAAGATTTACAGACTCAGAAATCCTAACCAGGGGTACTATGATTGGAACATAATGCTAGATTTAATCAACTTTTGATAATATAGCATTTATGAAAATTGTAATTGACTCTCTTTCCTTTTTTAATTTTTAACACTGACATCTCTGGAGAGTAAAGTTTGAAAACTACAGAACTGGAGGATAAAGTTTAAACTAATTCTATTGATAATCTGGTCTAATGTTTCCATTTAAGCTTTTATTCCCTTTATTTCCACTCCAGCCAAATAGGCCTATTCATGATTTCCTTAATACTCTATATACTCTATATACACTCCTCCACTGTTGTTGTTGTTAGGTGCCATTGAGTCAGTACCGACCCATAGCAACCTTATACACAGCAGAATGAAACAATGCCCAATCCTGGGCCAACCTCACTACTGTTGCCACGCTTGAGTCCATTGATGCTGCCACTTGGCTAGTCTGTCTCATTGGTGGTCTTCCTCTTTTTCTCTGACCCTCCACCTTACCAAACATGATGTCCTTCTCCAGCGACTGGTCCCTCCTGATGATATGTCCTAATTATGAGAGACTAAGTTTGGCCATCTTGGCCTCCAAGGAGCACTCTGGCTGCACTTCTTCCAAACGCATCTATTGGTTCCTTTGGCAACCCATGGCATTTTCAATATTCTCCTCCAACACCATAACTCAAAGACATCAATTCTTCTACGGTCTTTCTCATTCACTGTCCAGATTTCACATGCATATGAGGTTATTGAAAACACCATGGCTTGGGTCAGGCACACCTTAGTCCTCAAGCTGACATCTTTGCTCTTCAACACTTTAAAAGGGTCTTATGCAGCAGATTTGCCTAATGCAATATGTCACTTGATTTATTGACTGCTGCTTCCATGAGTGTTCATATTGATCCAAGAAGAACGAAGTCCTTGACAACTTCAGTTTTTTCTCCATTGATAAGAATGTTGTTTATTGGTCCAGTGGTGAGGATTTTTGTTTTCTTTACATTGAGATGTAATCCATATGGAAGGCTGTGCTCTTTGATCTTCATCAGCAAATGTTTTAAGTATTGCAGGCTGTTAATGAGTCGTCATCCAATCCTGATGCCATGTTTTTTTTTTCATAGAACCCAGCTACTCAATATTATTTGTTCAGCATACAGGTTCAATAAGTATGGTGGAAGAATACAACCTTGTCGCACAACTTTCTTAATTTTAAACCATTCAGTGTTCCCATGTTCTCTTCCAACAACTGCCTCTTGGTTCAGGTACAGATTCCTCATGAGAACAATTAAGTGTTCCAGAATACTCATACTTCTCAATGTTGTCCATAGCTTGTCATAATCCACACAATCGAAAGCCTTTGCGTAGTCAATA